AAAGTAAGGGGAGCTGTCCAGATCCCTTTTATTCTCCCTGTCTTCGATCGAGTGTATCTTTAAACTTCACGTCATCTGCAAACAGGGACACACCTCAGAGTCTATTCCTTCCGTCATGTCGTTCACAAATACCAGAAACAGCACTGGTCCTTAGGACTGACCCCTGGGGGAAACCCCGCTGGTCACAGGTGCCCACTCTGACACCTCGCCACGTACCATGACTCGCTGCTGTCTACCTGACAAGTATTCCCTGATCCATTGTAGTGCCTTCCTGTTATCCCTGCTTGGTCCTCCAGTTTTTGCACCAATCTCTTGTGTGGAACTGTGTCAAACGCCTTCTTGCAGTCCAAGAAAATGCAATCCACATATCCCTCTCTCTCTTGTCTTACTGCTGTCACCATGTCATAGAACTCCAGTAGGTTTGTGACACAGGATTTCCCGTCCCTGAAACCATGCTGGCTGCTGTTGATGAGATCATTCCTTTCTAGGTGTTCCACCACTCTTCTCCTGATAATCTTCTCCATGATTTTGCATACTATACATGTCAGTGACACTGGTCTGTAGTTTAATGCTTCATGTCTGTCTCCTTTTTTAAAGATTGGGACTACATTTGCTGTCTTCCATGCCTCAGGCAATCTCCCTGTTTCGATAGATGTATTGAATATTGTTGTTAGGGGTACGCATAGCGCCTCTGCTCCCTCTCTCAATACCCATGGGGAGATGTTATCTGGCCCCATTGCCTTTGAGGTGTGTGTGTGTGTGTGTGTGTGTGTGTGTGTGTGTGTGTGTGTGTGCGTATTAACTTCGTAATATGTAAAATTGTGACTAGTGAATTTATCGAAAAGTGGTTATAAGTGTTGTGGTGACTTTTTCTGATGAAATAGTTAAAACGAGAAAAATGTCTAGACTTGTGTTGTATTTTGTAAAGAAATTGTGGATTGTTGTGGGTATTAACGAAAAAATGTGAAATTATTTGGGTTATCCTGGGTTAAGAGTGAAAAATGTGTAGGGGGAAGTCGACAAGATTCAGCCTGTATATGTGAGGTCATCACGTGACGTCACTGACCGCCGAGTAAACACAGGTGGGGTGACGTCACACTTGTTTAGACCTGTAGTAAGAGAAAGTACCATGCCTCATAGGAGGAGTTCATTTGAATGCTTACCCTGAGAGGGGGAAATCCAAAAACTTGATCCAAGGAGATGGAGACTTTGTATTATCGAGAAAACCTTTGATCCAAGGAGATGGAGTCTTTGTATTATCGAGAAAAACTTGATCCAAGGAGATGGAGACTTTGATTTCGAGAAAAATTTGATCCGAGGAATTGGAGTCTTTGTATTATCGAGAAAAAAAATTGGGATGCAAGTGGGAGTCAATTTTGAATGCTTATACCCAGAGGGGGGAATCCAAAAAACTTGATCCGAGGAGATGGAGGAGAAAACCTTGATCCAAGGAGATGGAGTCTTTGTATTATCGAGAAAAACTTGATCCAAGGAGATGGAGACTTTGATTTCGAGAAAAATTTGATCCTAGGAATTGGAGCAGGGAATTTGGGGGTGGAAGGAGGGGTACCCAAAAACTTGATCCAAGGAGATGGAGTCTTTGTATTATCGAGAAAAAAATTGGGATGGGGGGTGAAAGTGGGAGTCCATTTTGAATGCTTACCTCCAGAGGGGGGAATCCAAAAAACTTGATCCGTGGAGATGGAGTCTTTGATATCGAGAAAAACTTGATCCGAGGAGATGGAGATCATAAGAAAATGAAATTAAAAAAAAAAATTTTGGATGGGGGTGAAAGTGGGAGGGGGAACCTCAAAAATTTGATCCGAGGAGATGGAGATCATAAGAAAATGAAATTCAAAAAAAAATTTGGGATGGGTGTGAAAGTGGGAGGGGGAACCTCAAAAATTTGATCCGAGGAGATGGAGATCATAAGAAAATGAAATTCAAAAAAAAATTTGGGATGGGTGTGAAAGTGGGAGGGGGAACCTCAAAAGTTTGATCCGAGGAGAGCACAAGAAAATGAAATTCGAAAAAATTTGGGATGGGGGTGAAAGTGGGAGGGGGAACCTCAAAAACTTGATCCGAGGAGATGGAGACCACAAGAAAATGAAATTCAAAAAAAATTTGAAAAAAATTCGGAGAAAAATTCGGGGAGCAGGGGCGATCCGGACGACACTGCAGAAGGTGCAGCAGAAGGCGCTTGCGGGCGCGAGGGCGCTGGCGCGAGGGGCGCGGGCGGGCGCGATTGCGCGGCGGGCGCAGGGGTCGGCGCGAGGGCGGGGGGCACGGGCGGGCGCGAGGGCACGGCGGGCGCGGGGGTCGGCGCGAGGGCGGGGGGCGCGGGAGGCGCGGGTGGGGGTCGTGGGTGGGGGCGTGGGTGGGGGGTTGAGGGTGGAGGGTCGTGGGTGGGGTCGTGGGTGGGGTCATGGGTGGGGTCGTGGGTGGGGTCGTGGGTAGGAAACCTATGATATCATAAGCATGGTACCAAATCTATGACACCATAGGCATGGTACAAAACCTACGATGTCATGGCCATGCTACCGTACCTATGGCACCATAACCATGGTACCAAACCTATGATGCCATAATCATGGCACTATAACCATGGCTCCATAACAATTACACTATAATCATCGTCCCATAACAACCATAGCCTTAGCACCAAAACCCTGGCACTCTAACCATGACACCATAACCAGTGCACCATAAACTTAGTACCACGACATTGACACCATAACCATGGTGTCATGAAGAAGTCTCTTTACCCTGATACCTAATAAGGGATATCAATTACTTAATTCTCTCCCCTCGTGGCTCGGAAGCGTATCAGTAATTACTGTGGTTATTTTCTGCTTCATTTATTTTACATAAAGATTTGACTTAGAGAATGAAGGACAACTCTGAGCAGTCGATGATAATGCAGTGAAAACCCACCTACGAGTAGATGTCAAGAAACAGTATATAAGGAATGTAGATAAATGGTTAAGGGAACTCACAGGATGATGAGTTAGACACATGTGCAACACTTCGGCATCTTGATTGTAGAAACAGTTTCGCCAGCCAGTAGTTTCTTCAGTCTAACGCAGTGGAATGAAGAAGCCACTGGCTGGCGAAGCCTTTCCATAGTAAAGATACCCGAGTGTTGCACAAGTGTCTAATTCATGAAACAGAATATTACCTACCCCTGGAGTCTCATTCTCAGTCACACTTTGCGATGTCCAGTGATGTTGATACAGTGGGCGACACTATCTGGATGACTGAAGCATCTGCCCTTCACTTCATCAGTGTTCCATCCACTACCCCCTTATCTTCACTGAGTGTCACTCGCAGATAAGTTGACTGACAAATCTAAAGTGTTCAAGGCCGGCAAATCATGAGAAATAAGTACTCCTAGGAGCCCCTGTACGCTTTTCCCGACAATGATCATGATTTCTTTTTCTCATTCTATGGTTTTTAAGTATTGATAGATAGTCATTCGATAATCCCCTTAAGTGTGTATAAGGGTTACGCTCTCACTTGATGAGAACTCCGATAAGGCTGTCACGACTAACTGCCCCCACCACCACTATCAAGGAAGACTTTTTTTTTTACAGTTTCTAAAAAAATAACTGATACTCTGAAAGGGTCAGGGAATACACAGGTGGCCCAAGTTATAATGGTATTGATTAAAAAGTTTAAGACTGGCGAAGATGGGAAATCATAATCGGAACAATTGAAAGCCACAATTAAATGTGGGACTCGCGTCGAATAATACAGTCAACATGAATGCAACTAGATGTTGAATATGTCCAGATTAAAGCCTCCATTGCTCTCTTTAACCCCTTAATTAAGGGTTAGTGTTGTAGTTCTACGGTTTTGAATTCTGGGTCAGTGCCATAGAACTAGTCAGATAAGCTGTGAGGGGTAAATTTGGGCTTAAATAGGGAATGGTTTGTGTGGTGAGTGTGTACCATATATAAAAAAAAGTTATCCCCCCTGTAGTGCATAATGGGCAAAAAACTGTTAAACAGTTAAGTTCACTCCATACTGTACGAATCTTTTCCTCTCTTGGAAGGTCCAGCTATTCATGTTTACTCCTTTTCTCTTTCCATGAACGAAAGTCAACATATATGGAACGAACTCTCACTCATATCACCTTGAACAATTTCAGTGA